ATTTTTTGAACAGTCTAATATTCACTTTTCTTCAATTTTTTTAGAGGAAAAACACAAATTTGATATATTTTTCTTCATGTTTTGATTTGGAACAGAATGTGTAGTGTTCCCAATGCATTTGTGTGTATGGAAATAAAAGCTATTAGAAGGACTTTTAGCTTCATTCACTTTTTTCAACACACTGCTATTATTTTGAACACAACTGTATGTGCCATACCGTGCTGATCCCCCTGTACCATTACTACAGTGATCTCCACTAGCTTCCAGGTCCTGGGCATTGTGAACACAAGAGGTCACCCACTCAACATGGGCACTATTCAAAGATCGCTTTGCATTTTCTCAATGAATGAAAATCGCTCTCTGATTGGACGAGGTGGAGAGGCAGGGGACGACAACACCTGGAATTCATCTTTTAAAACAATAAAAGGGCAACAAAAATCCAATCTTGAACAAAACAAAAAAAACTATTGGGATGAAAGGCAGATCTAAATCCTTATCCTCCACTATAATAAAACAATAAAAAAAAATCAGCTGATTCTTTTGTTTTTATTGAGGCTTGTCACATAAAAATGTATAGAGAGGAATTCTTGGTCTGGATATTTTAGATGTAATTTCATTGGTCCAGCTTGGACCAATGTAACTATGTATATACAAGACCTGGCCAATGCCTCTGGAAGCTGCAAATCACTGAAGCAGACACCACTACTCCAGTGATCTCCACTTGCTTCCGGGTTCCATGCCAACTGGATGCCCTGCTGCATTCTGAACACAGGTGGTCTCTCAGCACAGGTACCATTCAGAGGAAGCTTTGCATTTACTGAATGCATGAAAGCTTTCTCTGATTGGACAAAGTGCAGGGCATATGGTGTATGCATAGTTACAAGGTTCAAGCTGAATCAACATGACTATGTATAAAATATTCAAACCTGGAGTTCTTCTTTAAACTGAAGTGAGGATGCTACACGCACTGCACTAAACCGCTTCTAGAACCTGTATTATTCTACAAATGTAAAATGTAAATAATATCTTTTCGATACTCCCTTACCTCCCACCAGTGAAAAACAAATACCAACAAATGTCCACATATAAGTCCAAAAAAATGAAAGTCCAAAAATACAGTGCTTTCCAATAAGTAGTGTTTTTCAAACGTTAAGGAACACTCCACTTTGCTGAATTCCAATCCAGGACCTCAAAATCAGGATACCTCAAAAAAATATAAACTCAATATAGTGCATTATCATTACAAACAAAAAGAAACACTCGTGAAAACTGAAAGTGATTCCTCCAAGACTCCCACCCGTGATAAAACAGCACTCCAAAAAAATGTGATAAGGTGCAGCACTCCACACCAGTGTTACCATCCAAATAAACTAAAAACCATTACCCTCTAATAAACATACACCCAAAAATATGGTGCCATCTCTCTTGTGGAATAAATGCTATTACCCTCTTGCAATGCAGACCAAGCAGAATTCCTTCAAAGCAATCCAGAGTTTCCCCCTCTTCGGAAGCTTCTATTTGCTTCCAATCCACCTTCCCAGTTCCTCAAAAGGGGCAGATAGTACACAACTCAGTGAAGTATATATAAAGGATTTCACAATTTATTAGTATCTTACATAAAAAACGCCAGCGTCCATCCTCTCCCACAGTCCATGTATCTGAATTCCAGTGTTCAAGATGGCCGTGCCGCTACTTCCGGTTTGAAATCGTATAGTACGTCCTTACGTCCTTGACGCGTTTCGTCACTTCCGACTTGTGAACAAGTCGGAAGTGACGAAACGCGTCAAGGACGTAAGGACGTACTATACGATTTCAAACCGGAGGAGTAGCGGCACGGCCATCTTGAACACTGGAATTCAGATACATGGACTGTGGGAGAGGATGGACGCTGGCGTTTTTTTATGTAAGATACTAATAAATTGTGAAATCCTTTATATATACTTCACTGAGTTGTGTACTATCTGCCCCTTTTGAGGAACTGGGAAGGTGGATTGGAAGCAAATAGAAGCTTCCGAAGAGGGGGAAACTCTGGATTGCTTTGAAGGAATTCTGCTTGGTCTGCATTGCAAGAGGGTAATAGCATTTATTCCACAAGAGAGATGGCACCATATTTTTGGGTGTATGTTTATTAGAGGGTAATGGTTTTTAGTTTATTTGGATGGTAACACTGGTGTGGAGTGCTGCACCTTATCACATTTTTTTGGAGTGCTGTTTTATCACGGGTGGGAGTCTTGGAGGAATCACTTTCAGTTTTCACGAGTGTTTCTTTTTGTTGTAATGATAATGCACTATATTGAGTTTATATTTTTTTGAGGTATCCTGATTTTGAGGTCCTGGATTGGAATTCAGCAAAGTGGAGTGTTCCTTAACGTTTGAAAAACACTACTTATTGGAAAGCACTGTATTTTTGGACTTTCATTTTTTTGGACTTATATGTGGACATTTGTTGGTATTTGTTTTTCACTGGTGGGAGGTAAGGGAGTATCGAAAATATATTATTTACATTTTTGTTTGCACTTTCAAGGGTGAGAGTGATACTTTTCGTAAGGGAAATTTAGAGTATTTAATATATTTATATTCTACAAATGTAGCTAGATGCTGCACTACAGAAACATTGAGAAGGAGACATTTCCTTCTTTACAGTTTACTTTCACTTTTTGCTGAATGTTGTGTTACATTATTCCCTCCAGTCAGCAGAGGGAGAACTATAGCCAGCAAAGCCTATGGATTCCTATGCATAATACTGAGGACCATGGGGTTTGAAGTCCAGGAAGTAAGCCTTATTGTGGTGCTTATGGACCCCTTGCACTATAATTCCCAGGATAGACTGAGGCAAGGAAGAGCAGTGGAGCTGCGTTTCTGAGACTGCTCAGCTAGGTTCTCTCTCATGGCACTGAGGGAACCAATGAGAGTACATCTGCAGCATACTGACCAGACTGCTGAGAGGCCAGACCAGTGGAGACACTCAAGGCAGCTCAGCACAGAACGCAGCAATTGTATCTGCACTGTTGCCACATAGAGACCAAACCATCCTCTTACCCTCTACTTTCCACTGCTGAAATCTCTAGATTTGAGGCATAATTGGAGCCTTCAGGGCCCCCGATGCAAGAAACCATGAATAGCTTCCCTTTCCTCTGGGCCCAGGGCCCTTCCCTCCGAGGCTGGGGCCAGAGGTGTAGCTTGAAGCCTGATGGAAAAGTTGACCTGGGGCCCCTCTGTCACCCTGTGTAAGTGAAACTGGAAACTCAGATGGTGCGGTACGAGCTTGGGCAGGCACCTCAGAGGGGAGAAAGTAGGGTAGCCATGCAGGGAAGTCATGAAGAAAGTGTGACACTGGGGCAGGAGGCAAGTATTTGACTGCAACCCTTACACAAACAGGAGAAAAAAAGACAAATATAGTGCATTTCAAAAGAGCGGAGGGATAGAGAGGGAGGTGTAGGAAGAACCTGGCAGGTGCTTTGTGGGGAAAGGAGAAATCCAACTCCACCCCCTTCTCATCCGCTGGGTCTGGGTAAGTGAGTCCAGAGGAGGCCACCATGGCAGAGAGTAGCTGGAGAGACAGAGCTGGATTCCTGGAGCCAGGTTTCAGTAACAGAAAGTAGGTTGAGGGAGTGGAAGAGGAAGAGAGGGCATTCTAGAAGGCACATAATAGGAGGGGAGGCTGGCTCCTGGAAGAAGGGGAATTAAGATAAGAGAGTGAAGGTTGTGGCTGCTGCCAGAGAAGGGAGACTGCTGGTTCTGAGGATGAGAGCTTGATGATGGAGGGCCAGGGTTTGGAGTGATATCTCTGGACGATAGTAGTAGTAGGAGGGTGAGGTATGTGAGGCAGGAGTGAGATTTATAATGTGGAATCCCCAAATAATTACATTAATTCAGCAGCATAATGGTTCGAACTTATTCCATAGCTGTCAAGATCCAGTGGACCAATAAGTATAGAATTAATTCAATGAACAATCTGCTAAATGATTGTCAGCAATATTAATGTCAGATGGAAATGTGCAGCATTTCTAACAATAATTACACAATACAACATTCCAGCATGCAGCCAGTGAAGGCAAAGCTCTTGATCTGCAAATTTTTTCCAAGTCAGGGTCTTGGAGGACCACAGCCATTGAAAGCCTAGAAATGAGTAATGTCAGGAGCCTGTGTAAGGCACAGCAGTACCTGTTCTGTATCCACCAGGTGGCACCAGCAGCTGCAATAATCCAGTTGCTGATCCACATACACGGCAATATTGTATGTGTGTCACATTCCCATAGAATACAACAGATAGAGAGATAGATCACGTAGACAGATGTGACAAAGCACTTTAACTGCAAAGGAAAAAGTCTGGTTACCAACCCGGCTGTGCTATGTCTAGGCTGTGAAACGTTGTGGTGTATCGCTTTTCAGAGTGTGGCTAAGAAGCCACTCTCAGGCATCCTTCCATTTCCTAAATGCCTGTTTTATATGTTTATTGACAGTTGTGTATGTGCAAGTGCGTGTCTCTGAATGCACACTGTCTGATTGGGAAACACACACCGGTACATGCACAGCTGTAAAACTGGGACCAGTAGCTGTGTCTATGCAGCTGCTGTGCCCCAATAGACGTGAATGGGACTGCCTACACACAGATGCATGGAACACCTGTGCATCCCATGTGGGCAAACACGACCCTTCACACAAATGGACACTGAAGTACATCCATGTGGATGAGGTCCTACAATGGGACTAATGCTCCACGACCACGGACTAAGCGGTTGACTCGTGGTTGTGGCGCAGCCCAATTGACTTGAATGTTTAAGAGATGGTGCTATCTATCAAGCTGACCTACCACATTAAATCTGCCATGTGGACGTATTATCCACTTGACCTCCGGAAGGTTTAACCCCTTTCATAACCATGGCATTTTTTTGCTATTCAGCACTTCACTGGCAAATGCAACACTGTGCCCAAATTAAATGTATGTTTTTTCCACACAAATAGAGCTTTCTTTTGGTGGTATTTAATGTGTTACTAAACCTCGGACCCTGCATTCACTATATCTGGTCTCCCAGGACCCTGCATTCACTATATCTGGTCTCCCAGGACCCTGCATTCACTATATCTGGTCTCCCCGGAATCTGCATTCACTATATCTGGTCTCCCAGGACCCTGCATTCACTATATCTGGTCTCCCCGGACCCTGCATTCACTATATCTGGTCTCCCAGGACCCTGCATTCACTATATCTGGTCTCCCATGACCCTGCATTCACTATATCCGGTCTCCCCGGACCCTGCATTCACTATATCTGGTCTGCCAGGACCCTGCATTTCACTATATCTGCTCTCCCAGGACCCTGCATTCACTATATCTGGTCTCCCTGGACCCTGCATTCACTATATCTGGTCTGCCAGGACCCTGCATTCACTATATCTGATCTCCCCGGACCCTGCATTCACTATATCTGGTCTCCCAGGACCCTGCATTCTATATCTGGTCTCCCATGACCCTGCATTCACTATATCCGGTCTCCCAGGACCCTGCATTCACTATATCTGATCTCCCCGAACCCTGCATTCACTATATCTGGTCTCCCAGGACCCTGCATTCACTATATCTGGTCTTCCAGGACCCTGCATTCACTATATCTGGTCTCCCATGACCCTGCATTCACTATATCTGATCTCCCGGACCCTGCATTCACTATGTCTGGTCTCCCGGGACCCAGCATTCACTATATCCGGCATTCACTATATCTGGTCTCCCCGGACCCCGCATTCATTATATCTGGTCTCCCCGGACCCTGCATTCCCTATATCTGGTCTGCCAGGACCCTGCATTCACTATATCTGGTCTCCCAGGATCCTGCATTCACTATATTTGGTCTCCCTGGACCCTGCATTCACTATATCTGGTCTGCCAGGACCCTGCATTCACTATATCTGGTCTCCCAGGATCCTGCATTCACTATATCTGGTCTCCCTGGACCCTGCATTCACTATATCTGGTCTCCCAGGACCCTGCATTCACTATATCTGGTCTCCCCGGACCCTATATTCACTATATCTGGTCTCCCCAGACCCTGCATTCACTATATCTGGTCTCCCAGGACCCTATATCTGGTCTCCCCGGACCCTACATTCACTACATACATCTGGTCTTCCCCGGACCCTGCATTCACTATAGCTGCTCTCCCACAGTACGCGCAACATGGAAATGCAATTATTTTAGTGAATATAAACTGCTAAATACTTTTTCTCATCAGCAGTTACAGCAGTCTTGTGACTTCTATCAGTGTCCAGTCCACCACTAGCTGAAGCTTGTAGGAGTTTTCTTTCTGCTCCAGGATGGAAATCCCCTGACCTCTGTCTGGACAGTGCCGATTGACCCTGTGCTGATCACATGCACTCTCCCAAGAACCCCCCCCCCTTCCCCGAAGAAAAAAAAAAAATTTAAGACAGTAGAAGACATTAAAACATGAAACTGCTACATTTCTTTTAATTTGCAAAAATATGTGCCATAAGATGCCACCAGCACCAATATTAAAGACAAAATCAGTGTCACGGCCAGACTGTAACTGTGGCTGGCAGTGGCAGGTGACAGTTGCAGTGAGTGAAGGATGATGGATCCACACTCTGACAGATCCCAGGCTGGAACTACTCAGGCAATGGGGGGAGGTAAAACGCTGTGACAGCAGGCAGCCCAGCCCACACACAGAGAGAACACCTGAACTGAGCGATCCCACACAGTGATAGATCCGACACAACACACCACCACCAACACTGACACCGATCAGCAGGCCCAGCAGGCACTAGAAGAGCAGGCTCTGGGATTGTAATGATGTCATCACTCACTGACACATTGCACATGTGATGGACGGCCGGCTGGCCGGGTCACACTCACACAGACACCAGACATTCTCTTCCTCCACAGGTGCAGCTCCACCTCCGCTGATGAATGGGAAGAGAAGGGCTCCACAGTGATCAGCAGCCAGCTTGCAGTAAGGGACTAAGTCTGAGAGGAACACTGGAAGGAGTGGCAGCTCAGCTGCTACACTGGCCCCAGACACCTGGCATCTTTCTCTGCCCTTCTCTATACTCTCCCCTTCTCTGCCACCTCTCAGTCCTCTGGCTCTTGGTCCTCCTGCTCTCGGTCCTCCTCCTCTGGCTCTGGCTCCCGGCCCTCCGGCTGTTGGTCCTCCGTTTCTCGGTCTTCCAGCTCCTGGTCCTCCTGATCTTGTTCTTCCGGCTCTTGGTCCTCTGGTTCTCGGTCCTCTGGCTCCCAATCCTCCGGCTCTCGGTCCTCCGGTTCTCGGTCCTCCGGCTCTTGGTCCTCCGGTTCTCTGTCCTCCGGCTCTCGGTCCTCCGGCTCTCGGTCCACCGGCTCTCGGTCCTCCGGCTCTCGGTCCTCCGGCTTTCGGTCCTCCGGCTCTCTGTCCTCCGGCTCTCTGTCCACCGGCTCTCTGTCCTCCGGCTCTCTGTCCTCCGGCTCTCTGTCCTCCTACTTTCGGTCCTCCGGCAATCTGTCCTCCGGCAATCTGTCCTCTGGTCCTCCGTTTCTTGGTCTTCCAGCTCCTGGTCCTCCTGATCTCATTCTTCCGGCTCTCGGTCCTCTGGTTCTCGGTCCTCCGTCTCCCGATCCTCCGGCTCTTGGTCCTCCGGTTCTCGGTCCTCCGGCTCTCGGTCCACCGGCTCTCGGTCCTCCGTCTCTCTGTCCTCCAGCTCTCAGTCCTCTGGCTTTCGGTCCACAGGCTTTCGGTCCTCCGGCTCTCTGTCCTCCGGCTCTCGGTCCACCGGCTCTCTGTCCTCCGGCTCTCTGTCCACCAGTTCTCTGTCCTCCGGCTCTCTGTCCTCTGGTTCTCTGTCCTCCTACATTCGGTCCTCCAGCAATCGGTCCTCTGGCAATCTGTCCTCCAGCTCTCGGTCCTCCGGCTCTCTGTCCTCCGACTCTCGGTCCTCCGGCTTTCGGTCCTCTGGCTCTCTCGGTCCTCCGGTTCTCTGTCCTCCTACTTTCGTTCCTCCGGCAATCTGTCCTCCGGCTCTCAGTCCTCCGGCTTTCTGTTCTCCGGCTCTCTGTCCTACTTTCAGTCCTCTGGCAATCTATCCTCCGGCTCTTGGTCCTCCGGCAGTATGTAAAGGTCTGATTTATACAACTGTCTGTAGATATCCGGGGTGGATAATGTGCCATGCTCTCTTTCCTTCCCGGCTCCCGTTCCTCCGGCTCCCGTTCCTCCGGCTCTCTGTCCTCCGGCTCTCTGTCCTCCGGCAGTATGCTGTGCTGACCTCGCTATATGTAAACCAGTCATACGATGTTATGGGTTGTGTCGGTGATTCCATATTGGGTTTATATTGTTTAAATATTGAGTACCTTAGTCATTAATGTCATTTTTCAGGTTGTCAGTAAAAACCATGCTCCGTCAGTACATTTTCCATGTTTTGTCAGTAATAGACCCTGCGGGAGGTTGGCAACACCGATCCAGTGCCCAAGATGACTCTCATATAACCCCTCCTCCCCATACACAGAGCCCCCCCGGCCAATCATCGCTCGGAGGACCGGCACACAGAAGTGATGATCTCTGTATGCCCACACCTGTAGCAGCCAGGTACATAGCACTGAACACCCAGCAGGGGGAGCACTGAGAGCGGCACACGCGACCCAGAGAACAGGACAGCCTCCGCTAGAGCTCTCTCTGATACCCGCCCACTACACACTCATTGGCCTCCACAGACCACACTAGACGGTGATTGGCTTCGCCCCCAAGCGCATCATCCATGTCATCCCTGTGATTCCCGGGACACTACGACCCTGGCACACATCGTTCGGCCCCGCCCCCGGGAGAGGATTCTGGGTAAAGTTTCTCTCCATGGTGACGGAGCAGTGTGATGAGATCAGGGAAGGGGCGGAGTTCAAAATGTACCTGCTCCGGGAGGGAGGAGTAGGGGGCGGAACCGAGGCTGACAGCGATGAGGAGTGCGGTCACACCCGGAGCTCCCGGCCGCCTCTGATGGAGCTCTTCCAGTCCCAGGAGCATTACATCGTCCAGAGCGGGGACCGGGCCTTGTGGTGCAGCCGCCGGGATGGGACTCTGTCCACCCGACCAGGTGAGCCGAGGGGACGCGGAGGCCCACATACCAGGGTCACACACCGGGGTCATAGCACCAACACGGGAAACACGGGGGCCCCACACGGCGGGACAGGACAGGAATCTGACATGAACACAGGGGCCCCGCACGGCGGGGACCTGACGTGAACACAGGGGCCCCTCACGGCGGGGACCTGACGTGAACACAGGGGCCCCTCACGGCGGGGACCTGACGTGAACACAGGGGCCCCTCACGGCGGGGACCTGACGTGAACACAGGGGCCCCTCACGGCGGGGACCTGACGTGAACACAGGGGCCCCTCACGGCGGGGACCTGACGTGAACACAGGGGCCCCCGCAAGGCGGGGACCTGACGTGAAGACGGGGCCCCCGCAAGGCGGGGACCTGACGTGAAGACGGGGCCCCCGCAAGGCGGGGACCTGACGTGAAGACGGGGCCCCCGCAAGGCGGGGACCTGACGTGAAGACGGGGCCCCCGCAAGGCGGGGGACCTGACGTGAAGACGGGGCCCCCGCAAGGCGGGGACCTGACGTGAAGACGGGGCCCCCGCAAGGCGGGGACCTGACGTGAAGACGGGGCCCCCGCAAGGCGGGGACCTGACATCAACATGGGAGGGACCTAACGTCAACACCGGGGCCCCGCACAGCAAGGACCTAAGTTAAGCACAGAGGCCAAATACCAACAGAAGCTAGTGGATGGACCCCCCCACACATGAGAGGGCTGATACCAGCACAGGAGCATCACACTGGGGCCATAGGGGTTCCACACCATTACAAAGCACCAACATCCAGGATCTATGGGACTTGGGGAAGATAGGCTGGAGAGGCGGCGGGACGCTGGGAGGAGAGGCTGGAGAGGCGGCGGGACGCTGGGAGGAGAGGCTGGAGAGGCGGCGGGACGCTGGGAGGAGAGGCTGGAGAGGCGGCGGGACGCTGGGAGGAGAGGCTGGAGAGGCGGCGGGACGCTGGGAGGAGAGGCTGGAGAGGCGGCGGGACTGGGAGAAGATAGGCTGGAGAGGCGGCGGGACGCTGGGAGGAGAGGCTGGAGAGGCGGCGGGACGCTGGGAGGAGAGGCTGGAGAGGCGGCGGGACGCTGGGAGGAGAGGCTGGAGAGGCGGCGGGACGCTGGGAGGAGAGGCTGGAGAGGCGGCGGGACGCTGGGAGGAGAGGCTGGAGAGGCGGCGGGACGCTGGGAGGAGAGGCTGGAGAGGCGGCGGGACGCTGGGAGGAGAGGCTGGAGAGGCGGCGGGACGCTGGGAGGAGAGGCTGGAGAGGCGGCGGGACGCTGGGAGGAGAGGCTGGAGAGGCGGCGGGAGGCTGGGAGGAGAGGCCGGAGAGGCGGCGGGACGCTGGGAGGAGAGGCTGGAGAGGCGGCGGGACGCTGGGAGGAGAGGCTGGAGAGGCGGCGGGACGCTGGGAGGAGAGGCTGGAGAGGCGGCGGGACGCTGGGAGGAGAGGCTGGAGAGGCGGCGGGAGGAGAGGCCGGAGAGGCGGCGGGACGGGAGGCTGGGAGGAGAGGCCGGAGAGGCGGCGGGAGGCTGGGAGGAGAGGCTGGAGAGGCGGCGGGACGCTGGGAGGAGAGGCTGGAGAGGCGGCGGGACGCTGGGAGGAGAGGCTGGGAGAGGCGGCGGGACGCTGGGAGGAGAGGCCGGAGGAGGCGGCGGGACGCTGGGAGGGAGGAGAGGCGGGACGCTGGAGGAGAGGCGGCGGGAGGCTGGGAGGAGAGGCTGGGAGGGAGGCCGAGGCGGCGGGACGCTGGGAGGAGAGGCTGGAGAGGCGGCGGGTCGCTGGGAGGAGAGGCTGGAGAGGTGAATGATAGTTTGGAGAGATCGTGACATCTCAGGACACATGGCAGGTAGACTAAAGAGATGGCGGATAGATTGCATAGATGGCGGGATTCCAGGACACAGGAAGATAGACCTGGAAACATGTTGGAGATCTTGGTGAGATGGCGGGATCCTGAGAGACAGAGGGGATAGACCTAGGGATTTGGTGGCATTCTGGGAAGATAGGCTGCGACATGGTGGCATCTTGGAACGCAGAATCCTATGACACATGGAGGATAGAATGAAAAGATTGCGGATCCTGGGACATGGGGAGAATAGACCTGGAGAGGTGTTGGGGCTCTCAGGATACAGAGAAGGACATGGAGAGAGGGCAGACATCCTGGGACATGTGGAGGATAGACCTGGAAATATGATGTAATCACGGGTCATTTGGAAGACTGAGTAGAGAGATGGGGGATCCCTGGACACAGCAAGAATAGCCTGGAGAGATGGGGGATCCCTGGACACTGGGTGGATGTACCTGGAGAGATGGTGAAGATGCCGGTACATTTGGAAAATAAGACCTAAGGAGATGGTGGGACACATCTCGTGTATCTCAGGACACATGGCGGAATGACTGAAGAATTTATAACACATGAAGGATAGACTGCAGAAATGGTGCGATCCTGCAAACAGGGAAGATAGGGAAGATAGACCTGGAAAAATGTCAGGGATCTTGGGGAGATGATGAGGATCCTGGGACATGGGCAGGATAGACCTAGGGAGAGGGTGGGGTTCTGGGAGGACATGCGAAGAATAGACTTGGAGAGGTATTGGGGATCTCTGGACACAGAGAGGATGGACTTAGAAGGGATCCTGGGATATGTGGAGGATAGACTGGAGAGATGACCGGATTCTAGGACACTGGGAGGATAGACCTGGAGAAATGGTGTAATCATTTGGAAAATAGATTGGAGAGATGGAGAATCCTGGGACATGGCAAGGGTAGACTAGAGAGTTGTTGGGGATCTAAGGACAGAGGGTGGATGGACCTGGAGAGATGGTGGGGATGTTGGAACACATGGAGGTTAAGACCTAAGGAGATGGTGGGAGACTGGAAGGATAGATTGGAGAGATCGAGACATCTGAGGACACACTGAAGAAGTTATAACATGTGGAGGATAGATTGCAGAGATGGTGGGATCCTGGGACATAGGGAAGATAGACCTGGAAAAATTTCAGGGATCTTGGGGGGGATGAGGATCCTGGTACATGGACCTGGAAGATGGACCTAGGAAGATAGAAGGATTCTGGGACGTTAGACTGATAAATAGTGACATCCTGGGACACATGGCAGATAGACTGGAGAGAATGCGGGATCCCAACACATGGGGAGAATAGAAGTCTGGAGAACGTGGGGAGGATAGATTGGAGGGATTCTAGCACGCTAGGAGAATAGACCTGGAGAGATGGGTCATATGGAAGATAGACTGGAGGGAAGGGGGAATCCAAGGACACTGGAAGGATAGACTGGAGAGATGGAATGATCCATAACACTCAAAAGATAGATTGAAGAAATGGGATCCTGAGAGGAGAGATTTGAGAGAGAAACTGATCCTGGGACCTGCAAAGGATTGGCCGGATAATTAGACGGGCCTGGGATATGGAGAGAATTGACTGGAGAGATGGTGGAATCACAGGGCACTGGAAAATAGATGAGAAGGAGTCTTGGGATTCAGAAACAATAGAGTGCTGTGTAGTATCCTGTATTTTTTTCTTTGTACTTCCTCTACGTATGTAGATCAGTGGTATTTATAATGACTTTTGTGTCTTTACTGGACTTTCCTCTAGATTTGAGTGGTGTGTTTGTCTATAAATGTTCCTCTAGATGAGAAAGCGTGTTTATAGATGGCGTGTGTCTATATATAAAACATTCTTCTAGGTGTGACTCCGTGTTCTATATGAAGGTATCAGTGTTTATAGTAAACATTCTTCTAGACATGACTCCATAATATATATGAAGGAGTGTGTGTCTGTATTGGACATTTCTTTAGATGTGAAAGCGTGTTATATATGAAGGTAACTGTCTATAGTAAACATTCTTCTAGATGTGACTCTTTGTATATATGAAGGTATCAGTGTCTATATTGGACATCCCTCTAGACGTGACTGCGTGTTGTGTATATAAAGGTATCTACACTGGACATATTCCTCTAGACGTGACTGCGTGTTGTGTATATAAAGGTATCTACACTGGATATACCTCTAGACGTGACTGCGTGTTGTGTATACAAAGGTATCTATCTACACTGGATATTCCTCTAGACGTGACTGCGTGTTGTGTATACAAAGGTATCTACACTGGATATTCCTCTAGACGTGACTGCGTGTTGTATACAAAGGTATCTACACTGGATATTCCTCTAGACGTGACTGCGTGTTGTGTATACAAAGGTATCTACACTGGATATTCCTCTAGACGTGACTGCGTGTTGTGTATATAAAGGTATCTGTTTACACTGGACATTCTTCTAGAGACAAAATTGTGCAATATTTGTAGATAATTTTGGTCCGTATTCAACATTTTTATTCAGGATTTAGTAAGTGCCAACAGTTTGTGCAGTGCTTTACAAAGCAAAGGGAGCAGTACTGTCACAATACAGTTCAGGACAAGAGGGTTAGGAGGTCCCTGCTCTTGAGAGCTTACAATCTAAAGGCTTACAGTAGAGGTGAACTGTGTGTTCTGTATGGAGGTGTCTTTGTACATTACGCTAGAGGTACTCTTTATGAAGATATGTGTTTGGCAGTAGCAGTGTATGGTCAGTGTGCCGGTATTTTGGCATGCTATCGGTGTCCTGTTTTTTAACAGTATGTGGTCAGTGTGCTGATACTTGGTGTGCTGCTAGTGTCAGGTAGTATAATGTGTGGTCGTTGTGCTGTGCTTGCCATGCTCCTGGTGTCAGGTGGTAGCAGTGTGTGGTCGTTGTGCTGGTACTTGCCATGCTCCTGGTGTCAGGTGGTATAATGTGTGGTGGTTGTGCTGGTGCTTGCCATGCTCCTGGTGTCAGGTGGTAGCAGTGTGTGGTATTGTGCGTGTGCTTGCCATGCTGCTGGTGTGTGGTAGCAGTGTGTCGTTGTGCTGGTGCTTGCCATGTGCTGCTGGTGTCAGGTGGTAGCAGTGTGTGGTCGTTGTGCTGGTGCTTGCCATGCTCCTGGTGTCAGGTGGTAGCCAGT